ACGATCTAGATTCGGGTCTTTGGTCATCTTCTCAATCTTTCCTGATCCAGGGACCTGTAACTCGGCAGGAGAAGTGAAGATGAGAAAGCATAGATAGAAGAAGATTCCAAGACTGACGATGGCCAGCAGGCGCATCGGTCTTGGTAGGGCCATGTTGAATGATTCTTCAAGTTGTTGTTCCCGCCTTCGAACTGCTGCTGCACTTTTGCGTCGTCATCCCTGCGATTCCTAGGGGGCGAAAAGAAAGGGTCCACTGGGTCCTAGGTACGGCACAGACGGGTCGGCTACTGGGGATCTGGGATGTCGCGACACGCGCCTTAGGTTGACGTGAACACCTAGGGATGCCTCAGGCTTGAAAAGAGCTTGGAGGACTGGACTTCGAATACAGTTAACCAGACTCGAAAGCCAGTCCAACAACAACAACAACAACAGCAGCAGCAGCAGCAGCGGGATGGCTCAAGCTGGCGCTGTCAACACCATTCTTGCCCATCTCATCACCAGCATTACGCGTGTCTCGGGAATGAGACGGCCTCGAGAGTACAGACAGTTGAAAGAGTCAGCCGCCAGGACGGCCAAGCAGCAGCAGTTTGTTCGAACAAATCAATTCGAGGTGGAATCCAGTTTGCATGGGCTCGTGGAAAAGTTCTCTATTCTGGCCCGCGATGACCTCTCCGAGGCGTTGGCGGCCAGATTGAACGAACTTCGTGAAGTCTCAACTGAAAAATGGACACCTGAAATTCTCTCTCTATTCTTGAATCTTTCGGATCGACCTGTAGAAAAGTCAAACGTAGAAGCACTCAACCTGATTCGCCCTCCAAGTCCACCGCCACCCCCAATCACATGGGAAGAAATCGTGGCAGACGATCCTTTGACTGGAGACTTATGGGCCGATGAGACCTATTCGACAGCCTCGTCCGACGATGAGCTTGAGGATCGTCCTAGGCCTAAAATCTCCAAAGTTGGCCAAAGGCTCAAAAACAAGTCGGATACGCCAGCAGACGTCAAATTGCCTACCGAGCTACTTATCCCAGTCGAAGACGAATTTTTGACCTCAGTGAAGGCGGCACAGTACTGGACGGCTCCTGCCTCATTCCCTGCTCGCATCCAGCCAGTTTCAGAGTTACAAGTGGTGCGCGAAGTCTATTCTATGCTCCACGGTCTTCCAACTTCACTTTTCACAGTCGATCTGAAGCACTCTTTAGTTTTCTACAGCGCCCACACGATACTGAACAATATCAGCGCCACAAGTCTCAACGACTTACTCCATTCTCTTGCAAGTATTGGCACTGATATATTGGGTATTCGATCGTGGCTGCGCACTTCACAAGACAGTGCCCTGCTTCAAGCCCTGAATGCATCGACTTCACTGAGACTTCGGCAATTTGACAAGCAGTTGACGATAGAAGAGTCCCGTTTGGTAGATATGTCGATCCCGGTAGTCGTAACACTACTACAGCTGCACGATTCCATTCGAGAAATGAGTCGTCCTTTAGTGCATCTCGGACAACTCGTGGCTAGCGTGCCCAAAAAAGGCTTCACATGCTTGGAGATGCTGTACGACAGCATTTGCATGGCCCAGGCTGCGGAAGATGTACTGGTCTATGAAATTCTAGCTCGAGTGTTCTTCGAATGTCTCAAGGTCTATCTAAGGCCCGTTCGACGATGGATGGAGGTAGGCGACGCTGCCGATGAAGACGATACGTTCTTCATCTCAGTCGCAGATGCAGACTGTTCAGCGGCGTCACTCTGGCACGATGGCTTCAGTCTTCGCTTTGGCCAGGATGGCGAACTCTTTGCGCCCAAGTTTCTGCACCCTGCTGCTAAAAAGATTCTTGACTCTGGAAAGAGCATAGTCTTTCTCAAGCGACTCCTGCTGCAAGGATTTTCCCCATCAGTCCATTCCGAGCCAGTCTTGAATTACGATGTCGTTTGTCAGCCCCATTCTCTTTCCTATCTGGCCCCATTTTCTGAGCTGTTCAGTGTTGCCTTTGACAGATGGATCAGCAGCAAATATAGTCTAGCAGCTTCCATTTTGCGGGAGCAGCTGTTCCATGACTGCAGCCTGCCACGCTATCTCCAGCAATTCCAACTCGTCTACCTTTCCAAGGATGGTGTCATCTTTCAGACACTCGCAGACGAGATATTTCAGAGAATGGACAACCGACAGAAGGCTTGGAGTGATCGGTTCCTATTATCTGAACTTGCTCGCAGTGTTTTTGGAGGCCAACAGCATATTGATCCACGTCGCCTTAGTGTTCGTACTACCCATGCCAAAGGTATCGAGCGAGGTGTCAAGGCTTTTTCAAACATCGTTCTCGAATTTAATGTGAGTGTCCACACTGCGAAACCATGAGCTCACTGACAACGCGACAGCTCCCATGGCCAATCATGAATATTATACAACGTACCTCCCTTGCCACCTACCAACGAGCTTTCCGCCTGCTTCTTCAAATTTATCGGGCAAAGTACCTTCTTCGTCAGGCTGCTGTACAATACCGTCATCTTGAATCACGACTGTACATGGACCGAACCAATCACTACGTGCGCCAGCAGCTTTGCTGGTTCACAGATATCATGTACTCTCACATGACCAGTACAGTGATAGAGATATCTGCAGTTCAGATGCAAAGGAGTATGGCAGCAGCGGAGGACATTGATGCTATGGTTGCAGTCCACCAAAAGTTCCTCCTTAATTTGCAGCTCGGTGGGTTACTTGCAAAGAACCTTGCTCCCATCCACGATAGCATTATTTCTATACTCGATCTTGTCGCATTGTACGCAGATAACCAAGCGCGAAAATTAGGCATTCCAGTCACCAAGGTGCGAGCTGCCAACCGTAGAGGACGTCAACATCGAGATACTCAAGATCGGAACTCTCTACATGGTGATGGTACTTCAGAAGAGGACGAGGAAGAGGACGAATACGACGCCGACAGCGAAGACTCGTCCGGCAAAGAAGAATCTTACGAAGTCTGTCTGCAGAGAATTCAAAATCAATTCGGAGAATTGCTCAACTTCACAGTGGCAGGATTGAAAGGTGTGGGGAGAGCCGGTGGCGAGTCGAGCTGGGAGATGTTGGCTGAGAGACTCGACTGGGGCTCCAACAGGGTTGGTGGATGAGAAAGGACCCTGGGCAGGAATCATAATCGCAATTCCAACGTTACGGCGGACCGTGCAATATCATGTCAACGCCATGCAAATGCGGGAAACATCATCCTACAGACGCCAAACCACACACCATTCTGCGACAGTCACCGCGTATCTTTTTCTCCATCTCTGGACCATCATATCTAAGAGTGAGGTGTGATTGTAACACCCCCTGGTGTTTCCGCCATGCAAATAAATCCGGCGTAGCAGGGATGAGAAAGAGGGAAAACACAGTGAGCAACTCACGGCTAGCATTTTTAAGGGTACGCGAAGAGCAACCAGCTCACTTTCGCCGTTGACAAAATACTGAGGAACTCTGCTGCCGCCTGGGACGTTGATTCTGTGCCTACCCAATTCGCGATAGTGGAGATGACGCTTTAGCGGAATACACCGGCTACACGGCAGGGTGAAAGAACTCGACAAGAACTCCCCTACACGCAATTCAGCCTCAAATCCCTGTTGCTGAGGGTCTAGATTCATCCCCTTCCTCCGAAAATAGCAAGCGGCTGCAAATGTATTTATCATCTGTCCAAGAGCTGCCCACGCCACGATTTCTCGCTCCGATCTAAACCCCTTCGGTGAAACACTTCCTGGTCCCACACTATTTTTTGGCCTGCACTGGAGGCATGCGCTTGTGCAACTTGTCTTTAACAGTGTTGCAAACGAGGCCGGCGCAACATGGGTCGGCGAGAGGGAACGGGCGTTCAGCTTTAAACGCAATGGTACCTTCATATGATAAGACGCATGTCACGGTCGCTGAGAGCGAAACTTTATTGTACTATCCCACGGTTCAAGACGTTCTTCCCATTTCCGTTGCCACTGTTTGCGCAGGCGGTTGTGAGGGTGGCGAGGAGGGGATGGAGGAATGCATGACAGCAGTTTGAAAGGCGTGAAGGACGAAGTGAGATCAGCTTTGAAAAGACTGTTGGATGCTTTGATGGAATTTTACACCATCGAGGCTAGAGAGGACGTGAGACGTGGTCCAAATTTCAGATATCCAACCACGATCCCTCTTTCCATTCATCTCATAGGCTTTCTCTGAGATCGCGGTTGCCCGAAAGTTAAGCAGAACTTGATAGCAGCCATGGCGTCTCCGTATTCTCAGCTTAGCCCAGAGTTTGGCCGTTTCGTAAGATTACCAATAGCCTCAAGGCTCCAGGGAGAAATGTGGTGAATTGTTTTTGGTTTTGTACAGTACTATCTATGTGACAGCCTATAACCGAAAGCTTGTCAAGGCTTGCTTATTCGGTGGTTTCACAGTGGCTTTTTCCGTTCAGTGTTCCCTGGCTTTCTGGAATTGCGATTTTCACAGCGAGACTTGGCGAATACTACATCTAGACTGTACCGAAATGTTAGTTGCTGGCAATCTGGGTAAGTATTCTAGCCACAGCTTTATCCATCTCGATCTCAAGGAACTGGTGATGTTGATGGCAGGGTTGGACCTCGAGGAAGGCTGAACCGATGATCGTGGCCAGAGGGAGGAGCCGCGCGTGAAATTAGACGCCGTGATGATCGTTCCGGCCACTTCATCTTCCCCTCTCCTTTCCATCATCGCTCAACATCGTGCTGCTGTCACTCTGTCGATGCTCTGTAATCAATGTCTAGTCTACAGTCATCGGGGCCATCTGATTCCTTGCCGTCTCCTTAAAACCAATGTATTTCAAGCTCACCACTCAGTCCCAATCGATAACCCACCTTCGTAATCGATAACTCAACTCGGGCACAATCTCCACCAAATCCACAACCTCATAAAACTCGATATCGCCAATATAACTGCTATTAGATCGAGCAGGCAAAAAAGAGCAAAGAGAACTACCAAAGTAGCTCCGATGGAGCAAAAAAAGCAAAAAGAATGATGAGAGTGGGATTCGAACCCACGAGGATTGCTCCACTAGGAAATTTGGTGTTAAGGTTGTTGGCCTTAACCTAGCGCCTTAGACCGCTCGGCCATCTCACCTTTTGTGTTGATTGATGCTTGATGTCGTCAAGGTTTTGGGTTTAATAGTGAGGGATCTGCAGAGTTCTTGGAAGTTGAGACCAGCATGTATTTCTACCATGATCGGACCGTTTCATCGTTGTTTCCATTGAGAAGAGGAGATTGGGCGACTAAGAGGCTATTGTAGATTTGGATGAAAAGATAGCACACGTATTCGCCAGAGATTGCTATGGACTACAGTTTCCACTTCTCAGGACAGGCATATGGACAAGCATAACGAGATGGAACAATACTGCTGTCCTGAACGATGAGAAGTGAGTCATTAACACCCGATTGCTGACAAACAGAGATATAGTGCAAACAGTCCGCAATTGCATACTGTTTCTCACACTCAAAGAATCATATCTCGGAATCCGTCAGTATGGTTGACACATCCTGTGATCAGATTGAGCTTTTGGAGGTAAGTAGATTCTGAAGGTTGAAGAAGCCTGGTCAGCGAGGTAGACGGAAATAGAGATGGGGCTTATTTCGGATCAGGTTTTTTTTGGAACTATATGTGTGGGAGATTTTGAAGGTTGAAGAAGCCTAGTCAGTGAAGTAGATGGAAATAGAGATAGAGCTTATCTCAGATAAGGGGTATTTAGAACTCTATATATGTTGGAGACTCCTGCCGCTCACTCACTCACTCACTCTTCTCGCACTGGAACGAGTGAAATTTGAAGTCTTGGCCTACTGTCAGCTGTGAGCCCCAGGCCTTTGACTCTGTAAGCCTTCCACTCTTAAGTTCAGTAGGCCTTTGACTTCTACAAGCCCTTGACTCCTATAAGCCTGTGATCAAAGAAGTGTGAATGACTCGATTCCTACTACTTGAAGAAGATAGCCTCTCAAAGTAGCAGGATTCGATGTTATGAATGGCTATGGTAAGAAGAACTCCACGATCAAGTCCTTACGAGTTCCTGCTACCCACATGAAGGTAAGTTCATTGTAGTCAACATGCAAAAAGATGCGAGATCAATCACGGGAAATTAAATATTAATTATTATTGAAACTACTGTGAATGAAATACACAAACCAAAAGAAATACACTGAAGAAACCCTTGACCTTCAACAATCCGCACAATAGCGACAATTATGAAAGAAAAGGGAAGACAAAGGAAACAAAAGGAAATAAAAGGAAAATAGGAAGAAAAAAGGGAAAAAAAAAACCACTACTGTGAAAAACATCAACGCCGAAGATGCCCTTGCTCAGTCCCTGCAAACACAAGCCCATGAACATCCCACCCAAACTCAAATCCTCTCTTCCCAATCCCCATCCTCCTCCCTCCCCTCTGCCCGCCTGGCAGCAAACAGACCAGCAAAGCGCGACCTTCCCTGACCAGTCCGAGTCGGCCGACCAGTACCAATCGGGGCCTGACGAGCCCTTTGCTGCGTCGCAGGCAGCGGGATACTCCAAGCCATGCGGGCCGCCTCGTAGAGAGCCGGCGACGGTCTCACCATGGACAGGTCGATCCACAAACCCAGCCCCGAGGCAGGCGACGGGACCTGTGGACGGACTGGCTCCGGGTCCGGTTCCGAGCTCGATTCCGAGCAAGACTCCCAGTCGGATTCGTGGTCCGACATCCAATCCTCCGGTGACAGAGGCGTGTATTTGCCCGAGAAGTCGAGCGTGGGTAATGGATTTTGCTCATCCGTGTCGTGATGAGCGTGGTCCCTTGGCGCCGATGGACCTGCGGCATATGTTGGCGTTGCGATTTGCCGTCGCTGGGGGTATTCGGGTTGGGAGTTCGCGTTCAACCACTGTATTGGGTGGTTGTATTGTGGCGCCCATTGGCCGGGCTCGAACTCCTCCTCTTCCTCTTCGTCGAGGAAAGCAAGTATGTTGCTGGGCAGCACAGAAGCGGCCCCGAGATCCTCTGTGATCTCAACTTCTTCCTCGTGTCTGCTGTGGACTGAATCCGTTCGCAGACGGAAAGCAGGCCCGGCAGAGGAGGAGCAGGTAGCTGTGGAAGAAGGCATGTTTGTGTTTTTGTGTGGGATGTGGGGGTATTTGAATTGGGAGATGATGGACGATTTAGCTTGAGCTGGGAAAAAGTCGTCAGAAGTTTCTTGTTTGACAAGTTTGAAGGTTCTGAAAAAGGTTAGAGAGGTGATGAGATGATTAAATAGAGCTCTGTAAATACTCACTCAGTGTTGCAGTCGAGGTGTTCTGATAGTTCAGAAATATGATGTTCGAGTTTGGAGTCGAGAATGGTGGTCTTGATGAATAATTATCGGTGAAGGTAGATGGTTGTCGGTGAAGATAGGACTCTCAGACGATTCACGAAATTGATATGAAGGGAAAAGGAAATTAGAACAGGACGGCTCGATGATATATGAAGAATCAGCGTCGCTTTGACAAAATCAAAGCGAGGTGGCTGTCAGAGCAAGTAATGTAAAGTGCTCGCAGCGTTGATGTCGCTTTGAGCCTTTTGTTTGGGAGCCTAGTAACCACTCACAACGTTATCCGAGAATAACATACAAGTGTTGATTAACTTAGAACAACCCATCTTTCCGTGAGTATACTTCTCTGGTCAAGCAAGGTCTTCATTCTGCTCGTGTCTTTGTGAATGTTCTTCGAGGTTGTGAAGTAGATAACTCGTCACCCGACGTTTTGAGATACTACAACAGCACGTATATATCCAAAGACTTCTCTCGCCCACCCATATCCCATTCCTGATGATAGGTGAGTGCGACGACTCAAAAGAACTTGTCCTCAATCCAATCTGCAGTTGGACCAACACTCTAACAGGTAATTAGTATGATTGCAAGATCCGCGTTGCGTGGTAATTACCAAAGCCGTTTGTACGGTAAAGTATAACGCTGATCCTAGAACCATATCAAATGTGAAACACCTCGTTACTCCGGTGCCTACGTCTGCGCGCTTTATGTCGTATCGTGTCTGTGTTGAAGGAGTAACGCCGGCATGGCCTCAAAGAAGAACCGATTGTAGTTTTTCCAGTAATGACGCATTTTGATGAGCAATAGAGCTCGTTAGCGAATTCTCGTCCGACAAGAGCTCGAATTCTAAATAGCTGCTTCTCCTTCTTCGTTGTGTTCCCTTTCCCTCTCTTCTCTGGTAGAAACATTCTCGATGTCCCAGCTTACATCACTCATGCCTCATTGCCGTTGACCCAAGCTGTTGGCAGTCCTAAACACAACAGCGACAGTAAATAGCTCACTGCTGGACCGAACACAACTATTACGTGGTCCGCACTATCGACAGCGGCAGCGGGTAGAGATTTGGATGTTGTTAACAACAACTTCGAAGGCGAAACGCAGTAGTAATAATCGGATCCGATGGGGACTTGGCAACTGCTGCTGGAATTTCCACAGTGGCAATGATGACGACAGGATGGGATCTTGACAAACTCTGGCTCGTGATAGGTTTGTTTCTCCACATCGACATTGGCGCCGAATAGGCTAGCTCGGTCGCTCCATCAACGAAGGATGAGGCTCTTCTAGAACTTCATGTTGAGGACAGAGTATCGAGAAGCTCTCTTGCGTAGAGTAGTGCCACTCGATGAAAGCCAAGGACAGTGATGATGTCTTGAAAACCATTAGGGTTTCCGAAGCAGTCAGACTACGGATTGGAGTGATAATTGTCGTAGCTGTAGCCTAATATTGTGTCATATAAGGTTCGATTGGTATCAAGATACTATGAGCTTCCTTGGTGGCATGACTGTCAAGTCTATCAGTCAAAATCTGGTCGCTATTTTGGTGGATGGAGATTGGTCTTACTGCATCGTGCCTCGACTAGCAATATTCTCGATGGTAATGTTGACACCCTGATGCTCTGAGGAAGTTCAGTCATCTGCCGTGCAATTTTTTCACACGAAGCTTCCTTTGTCCGTAACCCACAGGTTTTTTCAACGTCAACGCACAATGCGAGCCTAGGCCATGACTTCCACACAAGCTTCCAAATTATGCACTGATTGCCAAAGAATAGTCGTCCAAGATGACAATCGACGGCTTGTTTGTTGGTGTGAGATGCCATCCTCTTTCATCTTCGACACCCGTAACGAGCTTCTAATGGATCGTGTGAGGATACTTGCCGCCAAATGGTTTTCTCTAAATCGGATCTAGTGATTTCGAAGCAGCCGCGAGGCTGATTACCAAAGACAGAGCGAGGAGCATCGTGAAAAACGCAGGGCGTAATGGAAGGACAGAGAGAATCTGCAACTGAGAGTGAGAGGTTCTGTTTCTGTTTTGGTTGGATCTTGTTGATGGTGGCTTCGAACTAGCCAGTAGTGAGATAGTTCCCTGGTGAGACTTCGTCGCATGTTCAGCCTCGCAGACAGTGATTGTATACCTCTCATAGCAAAGTCGGAACTCGTGTACCTGGCAAGGACCTTGAGTCATATCCTGAATGCTACACAGTTTCGTATCATGAGCAGTAGGTCCATCATAACTTACTGGGTGGGAGTACTCGATCAGTGTGAAGGTCTGGTCAAAAGATGGTGAGAACTGTTCTCTTCCAGCGCAGCGGAAATATCGAGTACGTCCATCACGAAAATTGACTCACTTTACCCTCGGGTGCGAGCGGAAATGATTTTTGAGCGATATGTCGACATATACTGCTCAAGAACCATCGTTGCAGACAATGCGTTTTCTGGTTCCGTGCGCCAAATTCGCCACTTTCGAAAACAGTGATTAACGACTTTCCCCTCGTGGTCAAGAAGCGCGGAATCGCTCCTCGGAATGCTGTTGTTCCTTATCTTTTCCTGTCAAGCAAGAGAAGTAGCCGAGCTTGAATTGTTTCGTCGGAAAGCTTCGGAGTTCGCTGAAAGAAGCTGAGCACATCGCAGTATGGCATGATTCTAACATGTTCGTATTTGCATGCAGTCAATTCAAAGATTTGGGCCTTCTCATAATGGTTACTAGACGATCCTCGCAATCGCGGCGAGGCTCAATCAAAGCTGATCGCGGTTCCAACTCCTTGTAACTTTGATAAGGATGCGTACAGAGGACATAAGGCAGTAAAG